TCTTCGGACAGATCATCGATGTTGAGCTACTCGAGAAGTTCAATGTTTCATATTAAAATCCTACAAGGGTCGAAGCGATTTGGTTGACCACGTTGCATCCTTTGAGTTGGCTATATGCCTTCTGAAAGTCTCTGACACGTTGAAGGGTTGACTGTTTTATACCACATTGAGGGATTTGACCTCAGATGGTTTAATGACCTCCAGGCAAGAGTTGTTACTTCATTCGGTGAGTTCAAAAAATTGTTTACGGTGCAGTTTGCTAGCGTCCAAAAGCCCCGCAAGGACTTGGAGGCCTTGTGACACATCAAGCAGGGGTCGAATAAGAGTCTTTGATCATATGTCACTCAATTCCAAAATGAGATGCTGAAAGTGTGAAATCTTGAGTTTATGATAGCAAAGGCCGTCCAACGATCATATCACGGTGGAGGAATATGTCATCCCGCCTTATCCTAAAGGAAAAAAATCCGGCCACTGCTTGTAGAAAAAGGGCTCAAGAGATGATGGGTAGAGGGAAAAAGATGGCCCTCACCCTACACATGAAAGAGTCGATCGTTTGATGGTGACGGTAAGGCCGACATAAATTCATGGAGTTGACTAATGACCAAGGAACGTTGAAACCCACTCATCTGAGAGTTTTAATGGTGGAGTTGGTGGAAGTATTCAAGATAAATAGTACTTCAAGAAGGCTTCAACAATAAGAGTCGAAGCTTTCCCCTGGAATACCAACAAATTATGCAAACATCATAAGAACCATAGTCATGACACGAAGGAATGCAGACATCTCCAAAGCCTGATTGAAGATTGATTTGGGCCTAAAAGCTCAAAAAGTTTGTGGCCCCTGCAGCACAAACCTAGAGGCAGGGGAAAGCCAATACATAAGATGACTCGAATTAACTCGTCCGAGCCAACATCATACATATCATGAGAATAGTGCCTGCAATCTTGAGCGGAGATTCAGTCAAAAGGGCCGACCATAAGAGGCTCCAAACTGGGGAACTTTGTGCAAGTGCTTTCGCTCTGTAGAGAAAGCCTCATCCTCCCACTGTCTTTGCTGATGCATATTTGCCCTCATAAGGTAATCCTTACAACGATGTCGTGGTAGTTATGACGATGATCAATAACTACTAGGTGGGTAGCATTTTGGTTTATACGAGCAGTTCAAGAAACATATTGTTTAAGTCAGCCTTTGACAAAATGCACATATCGGTCGACTACCTAGTTACATTAACCAACCAAACATAAGGGTTTTTGGCGGATAAAAGGAGGCACAAGGCATCATTGGGTTGTCAGTTACCTCAGAAGAAGGTCACAACCAATTCACACATATGGAGGACTTATTGATGATCGATGCACCACCCACCTACAACACAATCTTCGGTTAACCACTGTTCATTGACTTCAGAGCTGTGGTATCCACATACCACGTGGCGGTCAAGTTTTCGTGTGATGAGAAAACAATGGTCGTTCTAGGCAATCCGAAGCAGTCTAGGACATGCTACCTTTGAGCAGTCGGTAATATGGAGCAAGAAATGTTGGGCATCCAGCATTGACGAGAGGGGATCTCAAAATCGATGAAACTATCGAGATCTTCGCTGCCCTCGATGAACCGGGTAATTTTTTTCTAATTAGTGAGTGTTTTGATGCAGAACACAGAGACTTGTTGATCCAAACTCTCTAGGAGTATCGGGATGTCTTCGCTTGGTTAGCCACCGAAATGTTAGGCATCCCAATGACATGCCACCAATTCAAGGTCAACTCTGTCACCCAACCAATAAAGCAGAAGATTAGAACATCAGCCATGACTTTAGTCGGACCAATCTGAGAAGAGATACAAAAGCTCAAAGAGGCGGGCTACATCTGGGAGGTGCAATACCCGTCCTGGATCTCCAATGTGGCAATGGTGCAGAAGTCGAACAACAAATGAAGAGTGTGTGTAGACTTCACAAATTTTAGCTCTGCTTGCCCCAAATACAGTACCCCTTGATGAGAATCAATGCACTGGTGGATTATGCAGTCGAGCATTTAGTAATGTATTTCTTCGACGCTTTCTTCTACCATCAAATTAAGATGCACCTGGCCAATGCGGAGATGCTTACTGTCATCACAAGCGTCTATATTATTATATCGTAATTCCCTTTGAGCTAAAAAAAATTGGGGCTGCCTACCAGCGCATGATGGATGTTTCTTTACAAAACTAAAAATGAAAAAATATTGAAGTTTATGTCTACAATGGATTAGCTAAAAGTAGGTTGGCCAAACAACATATAAACGATCTAAGAAAACATTCGAAATGCTCAGAAATTAAATCCATTGAAGTTTACGTTCAGAGTGTCGACTGAAAAATTTTTTGAATATATTATGACGCCTGAATGAATAAAAGTCAATCTGGAGAACGTAAAAGCCCTCTTAGATGTCTTCTTCTCTAAATACTAAGAAAAGTTTAAAGCTGGTCGATCAAATAGTAGCACTCATCTGGTTCATCTCAAAATCGGGTGACAAATGCGCAACATTCTTCAAAACTTTGAGGAAAACAAAAAATTTTGAATGATCGATCAAATGTGAGCATGCATTCCAAAGCTTAAAACAATTGCTAGTCTCACCTCCACTTTTGCAAAGCCTGAAACCAAATGAGTAACTCTCTCTATATTTGGGAGTCGAGCTAGAAGCTATCAGTTCAGTCTTAGTCCAGAGGAGTTGGGAAAATAATTCCCTATCTATTGCACCAGCCGGGTCCTTAGAGGCACTGAGGTCAGGTATCCTATTATGAAAAAACTAATCTACGCTCTATTTATTTGTGCTTGCAGGTTTTCACTGTAATTCCAAACATCATCACAGACCATCTACCAAATCCATGCTCACTCAGTCGAAAACTCTGGTTGGCTCTTAAAGTGGGTGGTAGAACTCAGTGGATACAACATCACTGGTAAATTTCCTAGCAAACTTCTCAAAACAAGGCGAATCGAGCGGAGGAATTGATATCGGCAATCACAACTAGACTTTACACATTCATGGAGCTTCAAGCCAGGCAAGAGCAGGAATCTGACTGGAGCTGAGTAGTTTGATTGGAGAACATCTCTATCAATCAATCTTCTTGAGTTTTAGGTCACCAACAATCAAGCATAATACAAAGGACTAATAGTCGGTCTACACTAAGCCCTTGAAAGGCATCCGAGATCTACTAGTAAAGTCAAATTCAGAATTTAAGGTTAATCAAGTCAACAAATCAAAGCTAGAGATGAAGTTTTGGAGAGTAAAAAAGTATAACAATAAAATAAAATAAATAGAATAAGGAAAATTTTAAGAGTTTCTCTTGTTATTATTCCTGTTGTTCGAGAGTTCTTATTGCTTGATTTGGTTCCTTATATAACTCTCTTTTTTATCTGTGACATGTTCTATATTCACCACATTTTTCAAAATGATGAATCCTGATTTGTCTATGAAACCATCACCACAAAAAAAAAAGCTGGAATAAATAGAGTTTTGAGCTAAGAAAATAAGAAAGGAAAGTGGAAAAAGACGAGCTTCTTCTCTGTGTGGAGAGAGCAGGGTTTACATTACAATATTCACCTCTATTTGTAAATGAGTTGGTTTATATATTACAAATCAAGTACTCATTATACTCGGGCCTAGAAGGATCCTCGATCTCTCTCTCTCTCTTGTCTTATTTTGGCAGACACATTATATTTAATATTATCATGTCTTGATGCGTCTAATTCTTCTAAATATTTTTTTCTCAGTCGTAGCTTGTTGGTGACTCCTTTATACCCCAACTTGGCTATGGGCAAGTTGATTTTCTTGGGAGAATTGATCTCTTGAAGAGTATTGCAAAATTGGCCGTGAGACAAGTTGAGCTTCCTTAGCTAATTATCGAGTTTGCTTAGTCTGAGCTGACATTGTGCACAATACACCATAGGAGGTTGTTGGTCATAACTCTGGCTTAGTCGATCGATTGGTCGAACCATTATGGTTGAATCGTCTAGTCAGCCTAATGAGTTGACTCCCTTTATATTTTGAACCCATTCTGAACTCAGTCCTTGAACTTTTGGCTATGGAGGTTCATTTCTTTTTTACATCTAATTCTCATACTTTAGTGAGATATGTTGACATTAGTTGGACTGGTTGCCCTAGTCTCATCACTTTAACACCGATCATTTTACCGTTTTAGGCCCTATGTTTTTTTTCTAGAAAATCAAGCAACAACCAATAATTTCTTGTTAGAGAGGTAGAATATATTTTCCTTGTTGCACTTTTGTGTTTCAAAGATTAAAGCTCCATCTCTCTCAGAAAAAAAAAGAAAGCATCTTCTCATGAATCTTGGTATTAATCATTCACGACTAATCACAGTTCATTCATTCATTGTGATAGCCAAGCTGCTATTCTCACCATCGAAAACTCATTCTCCACAAACATTTTCCACAGACACACCAAATATGTCGAAATTGCTTATCATTTTGTTTGACAAAAGATTAAAGCAGGTTGTCTTGATCTTACCTACCTAGGCGCTAGTGATTAATTGGCAGACCGTTTAATTAAACTACTTGTTGGCATAGCTTATTGTTGATTACCTCATAAGTTGGGTGTTCTCAACAGTTTAACCCTACCTCCAAGCAAGAGCATTAATTCAAATGTCCATAATTGTCCAATATTTCTGGATTTTTTCTTATGACAAGGTTATTAGTATTCTATATTTACTTCTGGTTCGCATTTTTACTTGTATTTGAATTTGGTAAATCTTTCTCCACACACATATTCTTTATTTTTTTCCGCTCACAATCTTCAGTCATGTTTCTATATCAACAACAAAATGGATAAAATAAAAAGTGCTTGGTGTTTGATTGGGGCACGTGTTTGTTACTCTAGAAGTTTGCAATGTACTCTCAATGTTCTACTTCCTTGAAGCTTTTATAAATTTCAATATTTATAAAGAACATCTACCTTTCAGTGTTCCCTGTGCATTTTGTATTCTATGATGCCTAGTTACTATATATCACACTCTGCAGTTTACTAGAGCAAGGATTCCCACAGAGAACAATTTTTGACAATATTGATGAGGCCGGACTCTCTTTTGGCATCTACTACCAAAACCTTCCTACAGTACTGTTCTATCGAAATCTTCGCAAACTTAAGTATGTCACAAAGTTCCACTCTTATGATAGTGAATTCAAGAGTCATGCAGGAAGAGGCAAGCTCCCTAATTATGTTGTCATCGAACAGCGCTATATGGACTCCAAGCTCAGACCTGCAACTGACGATCATCCTTCCCATGATGTCTACCAAGGCCAGATGTTCATAAAGGAATTATATGAAACTCTTCGATCGAGTCCCCAATGGAACGAAAGTCTCCTTATAATCACTTATGATGAGCATGGGGGCTTCTATGATCATGTTCCCACTCCTGTTAGGGGTGTCCCAAGTCCTGATGGAATTGTTGGCCCCAGTCCTTTCAACTTCAAATTTGATCGCTTAGGTGTAAGGGTGCCTACCATCATGGTCTCTCCTTGGATCGAAAAGAGCACTGGTGAGTGAGAAACTATGCAATTCTTTTTCGGTCAATACTTGCTTGTAATTTTTGTTTTATTTTTTTTTTTTCACACACCTAAATCCACAGACATCACATATACAAGAACTTAAATTCAGGATATCAAGCCAAATTGGCTTGCATTTGTCTATAATTTTACTTTAATTCATTTTGGTTATCTGTTCCTTAAGTTGTTCATGGCCCGAGCGGTTCGCCGACACCGACATCAGAGTACGAGCATTCATCAATTCCGGCAACGGTGAAGAAAATTTTTGATCTCCCTTCCCCATACCTGACTAGGAGGGATGCTTGGGCTGGAACTTTTGAAGGCATTCTGCAAACTAGAATTGAACCTAGAACCGACTGTCCAAGTGAGTAAATCTGAAAGTCATTTTAGTTTTTGGCACATTTTAATCTTTTCTTGTTTTATGTTTCGTAAATTATGTGCTGGTGTTGCAAGTATCATACAAAATTATAGCTTTCTAAGAATTGTGGAGTCTAGTCACACTTTTATTAAAATTATGATGAATACTCATATAATTAGAAGTTAATTGTGTCAAATAATTATCTTTGGAGTAGTATGCTACACTGTACTGATAATTCCACACTTGAGATAGGATTTTTCCTATTTTTTGGCACACAACTTGTTTTTCAATTAAATTGAATGTGTTCTCGATCCACATAACATCTAGACAAATGAATTAAGAAAAGAATATTTAAATGTGAATTTGTATGGGGAGTCAAACACTTCTTTTATTATTAGTCATAAATTTGTTAACATTGTGGTTGAAACTATTGGGCACAGTTAAGTGAGATGTGTTGTTAAAATGGTTTAGTTACATTTTTATAATTCTTTTACTTCAAACATTTTGGTCTTTTTTACTCTCAACTTTCAATATAGAAAACATAATAAAAGCGGCTATAAAGTTAAATTTACTTTTAGTGCATAATTGATTATTGTTCTTTGTCTAGAATAGGAATGTTTTGTTTTTAGCTAATAATTTTATTCTATATTAATTCGTTTTAGTATTATATTAGCATCAATGTAATATTAACATGCAATGTACTATTCATATACATTCTTCTTTTTTAGTTTGAGCTATTTATATACATTCTTCTTTTTTAGTTTGAGCTATATTCACCTAAAAATCTCAATACTTCTAATTTTTTTGTGGTTTGAGTTAATTAAGGTTTTAATTTCCTTTAAATTTGGCATGTTTTCTTGTTTTTATTTGTTTTTTTTTTGTTATTAAGTGGATTTTATTCAAAATTTATACACAACCCGTAGGCACTAGCCTTCAAATCCAATATTTTGTAGTCGGAGCCAAAACACTATACTACTAGGCCAAAATTGGGCTACATAGCGGATGATTAATTCATATTTGATCTAATACAACAACTAGACTAGGCTACATGAATCCTTTTTCTCTATTGTGCTTAGTGAGTGTCATATTTTCATATAATTAAAGTAAATTAATTTCATGTTTTATACAACATGCACAATTCTTTTTATGTCTACCTCTACCTTTTCTAAGCATAAGTCAAATCTAAAATTTCTACTCTCCTAATAGGGTCAACAATCAAATGGTTGACGTTTAATGTGACCAAACCATCCAAAACAACTCTCTATAATCTTGTCTGCCACTGGAGCTACTCTAACATTTTCACAAATATATTCATTTCACATTGTCTCTTAGTGTAAAACCACTCATCCATCTGCGCATTCTCATCTTGACAACACTTAATTTTATGTTTTTCTCTTACAACCAAACGTTCTGCGCCATAAAGCATTGCATATCTTACCACCATCTTATAAAATTTCCCTTTAAATCTAAGTAACACTCTTTTATCAAACAATAGGCCTAATGCATTCCTCCACTTCAAAATCTACTAATAACGTCCCCATCTATATAACCATCACTTTAAAAAATAAATCCGAGATATAGAACGTTCACTCCTTTTAATGACTTGATCAACCGTTGTTACAACCCTATCATTAGATCTACTATTACTAAAATTACATTCCAAATATAGATCAACTCAAACGAAAGCAGCTTTAACTCTAAAGTTGACCACCATAATTTTATAAGTCTCTCTCTAGTCTTATCAACAAAAGGATATCATCAGAACATTGTGGTTGAAACTATTGGGCACAGTTAAGTGAGATGTGTTGTTAAAATGGTTTAGTTACATTTTTATAATTCTTTTACTTCAAACATTTTGGTCTTTTTTACTCTCAACTTTCAATATAGAAAACATAATAAAAGCGGCTATAAAGTTAAATTTACTTTTAGTGCATAATTGATTATTGTTCTTTGTCTAGAATAGGAATGTTTTGTTTTTAGCTAATAATTTTATTCTATATTAATTCGTTTTAGTATTATATTAGCATCAATGTAATATTAACATGCAATGTACTATTCATATACATTCTTCTTTTTTAGTTTGAGCTATTTATATACATTCTTCTTTTTTAGTTTGAGCTATTTATATACATTCTTCTTTTTTAGTTTGAGCTATTTATATACATTCTTCTTTTTTAGTTTGAGCTATTTATATACATTCTTCTTTTTTAGTTTGAGCTATATTCACCTAAAAATCTCAATACTTCTAATTTTTTTGTGGTTTGAGTTAATTAAGGTTTTAATTTCCTTTAAATTTGGCATGTTTTCTTGTTTTTATTTGTTTTTTTTTTGTTATTAAGTGGATTTTATTCAAAATTTATACACAACCCGTAGGCACTAGCCTTCAAATCCAATATTTTGTAGTCGGAGCCAAAACACTATACTACTAGGCCAAAATTGGGCTACATAGCGGATGATTAATTCATATTTGATCTAATACAACAACTAGACTAGGCTACATGAATCCTTTTTCTCTATTGTGCTTAGTGAGTGTCATATTTTCATATAATTAAAGTAAATTAATTTCATGTTTTATACAACATGCACAATTCTTTTTATGTCTACCTCTACCTTTTCTAAGCATAAGTCAAATCTAAAATTTCTACTCTCCTAATAGGGTCAACAATCAAATGGTTGACGTTTAATGTGACCAAACCATCCAAAACAACTCTCTATAATCTTGTCTGCCACTGGAGCTACTCTAACATTTTCACAAATATATTCATTTCACATTGTCTCTTAGTGTAAAACCACTCATCCATCTGCGCATTCTCATCTTGACAACACTTAATTTTATGTTTTTCTCTTACAACCAAACGTTCTGCGCCATAAAGCATTGCATATCTTACCACCATCTTATAAAATTTCCCTTTAAATCTAAGTAACACTCTTTTATCAAACAATAGGCCTAATGCATTCCTCCACTTCAAAATCTACTAATAACGTCCCCATCTATATAACCATCACTTTAAAAAATAAATCCGAGATATAGAACGTTCACTCCTTTTAATGACTTGATCAACCGTTGTTACAACCCTATCATTAGATCTACTATTACTAAAATTACATTCCAAATATAGATCAACTCAAACGAAAGCAGCTTTAACTCTAAAGTTGACCACCATAATTTTATAAGTCTCTCTCTAGTCTTATCAACAAAAGGATATCATCAGCGAAAAACATACACCAAAGTACATCCTCCTGTAAATTTCTAGCAAGAGCATTCATAACTAAAGCAAAAAGATATGTGCTTAAAGTCGATCCCTAATGTGAGCCACCCTTTACTTTTAGAAATAAAAGGAATTATTTTAGCATGAGTAAATTTGAAGAATTTCAAATTTAAAAAGATGCTCTAGAAGAAGCCAAAAAATATCATGAAGAACCCATAAGATTAACAAGCTATTTAAGGTTACAAGGGAGTGATAAAACCTACTCAAAAGTATTAAATTTCTAGACAATAATATTATTAGAGTTATTTCAAAAAATAGTGATAATAGAAAACAAACTAAAAAATAGAGAAAAAAATGTTGGGAATAGTTACTCAAGTTGATTTAAAAAATCTCTCCGAAAGCATTAGCACAGAAAAAGAAACCATACCCTATAAGCCCATAAGTTATAAGTCATGGTAAATAAACAAGGACCACTTATTTTATTCAGAAAAAAAATCCCCTACCTTTGATAGAAAATATCAGAAATAATAGATATAGAATCTCAATTAGACATATTTAATAATGGAAAAATAAATTTAATAAACGTTAAAAAGAAAATGGATGAAAACTTCGTATTATCAAAATCAACTATAATACGAACAGTAGCAGAATAAAAGATAAGTTGTGTATTTGATATTGATCAAATAAGTCTACAATTAATAATATAAGTGGATTGGGAACAAATTAGACAACAACGAAAGTCCCAAATGCATGCAAGATTAGTCATGATAGGAGTAAAAGAATTACATAGAAAAAAATTAGGGACAAAAACTCTAATTATATTGTTTGATAATAGATAGAACGATTTAGCAAAATTAATAATAGGATCATTTGAGATAGATATGAATGACAATGGGGCGATCATTTATTTCATTCCAAATTTTATAATGGACACTTAGGAATGCATACAACATTTAAAGATAGGAATTAAAACTAAATGATATAATATGGTTGCAGGATCATTAAGTCTCATAATAACAACTGGATTTATAGGAAAAATGCAAGAACCCTCTAATGTTAAATTTAAATTAAATAACGAAGCATTAGAACTTATGTTAGCAAGTCAAGGTATTAGAGTCTTAGCCGGAAAAAAATTAGCTCAGAAATACATGCATGAAGAGAATGGAATTTAAAAGCTTTTTTAGAAAAATCAATATTAGTACCAAATGAGAGCACATCTTATGAAAATCAAGATGGAACTATTAGCATGAGATTTTTAGACTATCAAACAAGACAAAATAAACATGAATCAGATGATGATCTTGAATCAATACAATCAGAATTAGAAGAAAAAAGATAAAGATAAATATGGAAGAAATTGATTTTAGTCAAATAAAAACTATGAATAATTACAAGATTACATATTTAGTATGAAGACTTCTTATTCAGAATTACAATAAAGATACAATTTGATAAGACATATGAAAATTAATTTAATCCTAACTTTAATTGGAGAGCTATTGATTCCCTTTTTATCATAGAATAAATAAAAATGAATCAACAAAGTTCCATGGATTTAGGAGAAATTGTCGTTGGATCTTCTAATTCAGATAGAGGAAAAAGACCTAGATTTAACTCAGTACCACCATCAGGAGAAGTAAGCGGACCAGGGAGGCCATATAGACAAGGAACCTCTAAAAGAAATTTTGTGGAAGACAATAATTATAATTTCAAAGGAAATATAGAACCAGTAGAACGAATAAATCTTATGCTAGCTCATAAGAATGGAAAAATTTTAACAATTAATCTCAATAGCCATCAAATGTGGGAGTCGGTAATTTCTACATGAGAATTTGATGCAGTAAGAGCATGGGCAAACAGTGATAAAAGTGGTATATGAGATATGTTTGCTTTCCTTGAGACCCCAGGAGGGATAGAATCTTTAAGACAATTAGGAGTTAATCCATACAATTGTACAAAATTCATTAGAAAACTAATATTAGGATTTGATCCAAGAAGACAAAATACAAATATTCAAGATCAAGCTTATAGAAATCTCGAACAATTAAGTTTAGCAAACTGGTCTCAAATAGATAATTTTGCAAGTTATATGTTACCTATGCTAGTAGTGCAGGTAAATATTCGATGATGAAATATTAAACAGGTTTTTGATAAAATTACTGGGAGAATTAGAAAAAAAAAATGAAAAATGGAAAAATAACTACACAAACTTGGATAATATTAAAAACATAGGAATAGGACCAAGAATTGTGTTTACTTTTAATATTCTACAAGAAAAATGTAAGGAATACAAAATCCAAAAACAGGTTGAAAAACAGTCTTACAAATTTTGTAGAAATATTTACACAACTAAAAATTTCCCAGAAAAATCATACAGGAAGAGAAAAGTCCTTAGAAGATCAAAAAGATCAACATGCAGAAAAGATAGAAATGTAAAAAAATCAGATAATAAAAAATGTCATTGTTATATTTGTGAATCCCTTGATCACTTAGCAAACCAATATAACAAGAGGAATTATAATAAAAGAAGAAGTCTATTAATCCAAGGATTAGAAGATGACGTACTTGGTATATCTTCAAATGAATCAAAAGGCACTATTTATGACACAACTGATGAAGATTCTGAAAATGAATCACAAAAATATGAAGATGCAATGGACGGATTAATAAAGGCAATTGATAAATGGAAAATAGAAAGATAAATGGATCTATGTGAACATCTATTTGAGCTAGGAAAAGGAAGTATGACAAAAGAGTGTCTCTACTGTAATTACCATCCGGACAAAAACCATAGATATAGATGCCAGTTATATCTCATAGAAATATGTCATTTATGCTTAAAAAAAATCGTAATCAAGATCATAAAGATTATATAAAACCTAGAGAAGGTATAGATATATCTAAAAAATTAGAAAAAATAGATTTGGAATAGAAAAAATACATCTAACTATAGAAAAGATAATATTCAGGCTATAAAAATTAGAAGAAAAAGATAAAGAACGAGGAAAACTCAAACAAAAAATGATTAAAGAATATAAAAAGGATAAACAAAAAATTACATTTAAAATTTAAAAATTAAGATTAGCTATAAAAGAAAAAAGATCTCACCAGTATCCTCAGAAAAAGATACAACTTCAGAAAATGACATAAATTTCGACCCTGAAGACAGCAGATTGTACAAAAATAAATAAACTAGATTTAGCACAAACAAATACAGAAGCAATGATAGTTAAAAACTATTCCAACTTCTTTAATAACCCTAAACAATAAAAATAAACTTAGAAGATAAATTAGAAATAATTGTACAAGTATTAATAGATAGTGGAAGTACTACATCCGTAATAACAAAAAATTTACTACCCAAAAATTTTAAAAATTACCATCAAACAAATACAACCACATACCTGGTAGGAGACCAAACATTAACTTTTGACAAATGTTTAATAAACAGTTAAATACAATTTTTCCTTGATTTTAAAATATTAGATTTAACAGAGAAATATATTTTACCAACAATATTAGTTCATGAGGCAAACAACAAAGAATTTATACTAGGGCTTAATTTCATATTAAGCATGGATGGACAAATAAACACAAGCAAAAATTATTTAACAATAAGCAAAAGAACCTCAATTGTACCCACAAACAAACATCAGAGTCACGCTGTGAAGCATGGTGGGGAAATAACAAAAAATACAAAAAACTTAAGCCCAAATCCCGAAGTTTAAGAATACCTAAATAACTGCGACAAGCAAGAAACAATATCCACATATACCAAATACCAAAACCATTAGAAAAAATATTTCAACTAGCAGAAAAAATTCAAATAATAGGATAAAATCCTTTAAAACATTGGGATAGAAATAAGGAACTAGCCAACATCCCAATCATTAACAAAGATCTAGTTATAAGAACAAAGGAAATAGAATACTCTCCTCTAGATAAAGAAGAATTTAAAACTCAAATTAAAGAACTAAAAGAATTAGGACTAATCAGACCATCAAAATTTGAAGATAGATCAGCTGTTTTTTTTAGTTAGAAATCATGCAGAAATAATTAGATGGAAAGCTAGAATGGTTATCAATTATAAACGAATAAATGATAATACCGAAGTTGACGGATATAAAATACCGGATAAAGATATGTTAATAAATTTAATACAGAATAAAAAATACTATAGTAAATTCAATTGTAAGTTGGGGTTTTGGCAAATAAGATTAGATGAAAAATCAATAAAATATATGGTTTTTACTACACCAATAGAACATTATGAATAATTAATTATGTTGTTTGGTTTGAAAAATACTCCCATGTTTCAAAGAAAAATGGACAACATATTTAAAATTTTAGATTATGTTTTAGTCTACATATTTGAAAAATACTCCATGTTTCAATAAAATTCATATGTAAATCCTTCTGATTCTCTCTATATTTTTCCAACAAACCTCTCAATAAATTTATAGTTTTCATAGCAGACATTCATACAAATTGATTTTTGAGAAACACATTATAACAATTTTTCCGTTACTCTCTCCCATAACGTTAATGCATGATGCATTATTTTTATTCATCTATTATTTGCACAATCTTATGCCTCCCTTTTATTCTTAAAAATAAGAGCCAATAGACTCTTTTACCACTCATTTAATCTAATAAAATTTAAAAATTTAGGAAGATTTACATACATGCCATAGAATTCTTATATATTCACTTATCCAACATCTAAACTTTGATATTTAATTTATACCACTTTATTTAAAGATGAGAAGGTGTATTCTTATGCCTCCCTTGTATTCATTTTCTCAATAATTTTATATTCTTGTGGTTTGCATTAATTCGGGTTTCAAATTGGTGAAAATTTGTATTTTTTATTTTTTATTATTTATTTATTTATTTATTTATTTATTTTGTGTTGAGCAAATCTAATTGCAAATTCATACACCCTTGACACTAAAGCCTCAAACTCAAGACTTTATAGTTGGAACCAAAGCACTCAGTATTAGGCCAAATTGGGCAATCTTATAAAATAAGAAAGATTCAATGATTGACAAAATTGACATATCACAAATTATTCTTCATGATTTTGGGCTCCTCATTTTCATAACCAAATATGAATTTGCCTTTCTTTATTTTAGGTTTGGGGGCATCATCAACTCGTGCATGAAAAATGTGTATTTCGCATTTAAAAAGATAGTGATGGGTGATATTTTTTATTTGATATTGAAGATTCGAGTGGTATGCATGTAAATATCAATGTTCAAGTGTTAGGGATGTAAATACATAGAAAATTTGTGGAATGTATGTAACTACCCACTTTTTATGCGTGCATTCTTACTGGACAAAAGAATATTTAGAATTATGTTTGATGCAGCTCAACTCCCAACCCCAGTAAAAATCAGGAAAACTGAAGCCATGGAGGATGCGCCGCTGAGCGAATTCCAGCAGGAGCTCGCACAACTTTCGTCGGTGCTCACCGGCGATCACCTGTTGAAAAACTTCAAAGGCACCATCAAGAAAATGACCGTTAAGCAAGGGCAGGAATATGCAGAAGGCTCAATCAAACGTTTCCTTAATGCAGGATTGGCAGCAAAAATGATGGGCGTCGAAGAAAACCAAATCGTGAAGATGAGACCATCGCTCACTACCAGACCAATCTCCTCAACTCGGACTACTCCTTGAAATTATATATATGTATATATATATATATATATATATATGTATGGATTGTATGATAAGGTCATAGCAATATCAAAATGGCGAGGCTTATATATGCCTCTGAATTTAATATATGAACGAGGGTTATATATGGCTCTGAATTTAATATATGAATTATTGATGATTTCTTGCTTATTTTGATGAGTTTGAATTGAAGTGGTCTCTATTGTTTAGATCATCTAAGAATATTAATGAATGTTTTAATCCATATAATTTAAATTAAAATCAAAGTGATACTATATACACAAATATTAAATCACGATAATTTTAAAATTATTTTCTTCATTTTATTTTCTGAAATTGAGCCCACTAGACGAATTAGCCGAAACAAGCCCACCATTCCAAGTGGCTGAACTTGACCCACAAACCAAAGTGGTTGAATCAAGTCTACTAGCCTAAATGATGGACCTGGGCCTACCCGCTGAATTAGTTGAATTGGGCCCACCAGCTTAAGTGATTGAACTAGGCCTATCAACCGAAGTAGTTGAACTACCTATCAAATCAATACTTAATGTGCCATCCAATTTCCAAGACAGCCCTCTCTCGAGCTAAAAGGACGGCCTTCACATTGTTGTCATTGGATTAATTATGCACATGGTGTAGTACTTGCCCACGTTAAACTCTTCCCATCGAGGATGTCACACGAAGCTTACCAGTTTATATTCATTATTTTATCTCTCATATATAAAAAGTATAAAGGGACAAGGAAGAAAGAGTGATGTAGTACATCATCAAAATGAAGTCAAAGGTTCACTTACAAGAACCCAAGCAAGAGCCCAAGAAAGTGCCCAATTAAAAGCTCATTTAAGGCCCATTACAAAAGCCATATCAAGAAAAAATAGTTGAATTTGTATTTCATTTTTTATATTTCAAATTTCAATTTCTAGAATTTTTGAATTTTCAAATTTGGAAGCTCTTATTGCTCGTCATAAAAAAAATAATAATACATTAGGAAGTTGGTTAGCACCTTCCTTCATTAACGGTCATCTGCCACCCTTCAAAGTTTCCTCCTTTTATTGATTTTTTATCATTGTAATCCCTGTAAATATGGCTAATGTATAATGCTTTGAATTTGTTAAATGAAATATTTGAGTGAAAACTTTCTCTTATGTTATTCATTAATCCTCCATAACACTTGCTCTTAAACTCTTCACCCCTCTTCATCCACTTCCTAAGCTTTTCATAATATTAATAAACCAACAACCAAAGCCTCACAACCATTCCAAACTCCTCTTCATAGCTCTTGGCCAAACAAGAGTATATTAAAACCTAGTTTTGTTCCCTAACCATAAACACCATTGTAAACCAATCCAAACTAACCCATCTACTCCATATCATAAGTATACATCTTAAGCTAACCATCAATAATCATTTCTAACCATTTACCTATTATTAAGCCACTTTCCTAAAGAGATAATTCCAATATGCCCAAACAAGCCTTATCCAAACTAGTCTTAGTAATTTAGCCACCACTCCCTCCTAAATCTCTTAACATTACATCGAAACCTTCACATCACATCTTTAGACCTAAAATCAAACATTAATAGTAAATTTTAATATTTTAAACCATCAAAAAGAACGCTCACTTTTATTATATTTGGTATCAGAGCGAATCTTTTTTTATTTAACACAAATATGACTCTTAAATTCAGAAATAATTAACATTATATTAATATTATGTATTAAAATTTTAAATATGATTAAAATTTTAAAATATTATACATTATTAAAAAGGAATAAGACTAAGCATTTCACATGATGGAGTCCACGCCTTATATTAATTCATTTAATGCACTTAATTGTGTTATTTGTTATGTTTGTACCTATAAATACCATTGTATTGACTGTTCTCAGTATTGGGAAACAAAACCAACTATGAGTTTGCATGTCTGCTCTTCTTCTTCTTCTTCTTGATAATCTATTATGCGATTTTTCCTAGATCTCTTTTGCCTTTGTTTTTATCATGGCATCAGAGCATTGCTAGACCTTCAGCCATGGACGACTCCAGTAGCTCGCAACTTCAAGAGGGACTAGTGACTCTCAACATTACCTAAACCCTTATTCCCTCATCCTTGAAATACTTTATGCCTAACCTGAAATCGATGGTTACAGTTGCCTTATCTGCAGATAATTATCAACTATGGAGGTCCCAAATGATCAAATTTACCAAAGAAAACGGGTTCTTGGGCTTTCTTAATGGCAGCTTACTCACTCGCAATCCTATTTTTATTGTCAAATCAGGTACTTCATCTGTTAACTTGGCTTATACTACTTGGATGTTGATTGATTAGAATCTAGTAGCTACTTTGTATTCCCCAATATCAGCATTTATCTTGCTCTGTACTGAATTTGGATAGTTGTCGTGAAATTTGGACTGTGTTGGAGAAACGGCTGCAAGCATCCAATTTCTCTTGGATCATTCAGTTAAAGAATGAATTGCATAATGTGTCAATGAGAAACTTAACAATGACACAATATTTGAACCAAATTAAATCAACTGTTAACGATATATCTGTCGTGGTTCGAAAGTGGATCTTGAAGACATTATCATGTAAATTCTAAAAGGTCTACCACCTACCTATCAAGCTTTTAAAATTGTTATAAAAACCCAATATGCTCCCACAAGTCTTGAAATTCCATATTCTCTTTTAATGAGCAAGGAAATCAATCTTACGTCAGACTTCAAGACTGAAAGTCTTGAAACAGATTCCCAGGTAGTTCTTTACTCCCATAAAGGAATTTGAAAATTTTATACAAGCAAGAGTGGCTCTCTCAATCACTCTTCGAAAAGAAATCAAGATCCTCCTACTCGAACCAAATCTTTCGGATCAGTTCTTTGTCAAATATGCAATAAATCAGGCCATGTTGCTTCTAATTGTTGGCACTGACTCAATGTCAATTATCAACCCAAAAATTCCAATGCTTTGGCTGCTTCAAATTCACATATGGCTTATGTTTCTTCCATCGATACTTCACTTAAATCATATTGGTATCTTGACACAGGAGCTACTTCTTATCTAACTGCTAACTACAACCAATTGCGACTCCCTGAAGCAAAACAAGGTAAAGAAAGTGTGATGTTAAGCAATGGTAACATTGTTCCCATACAGCACCCTGGAAGTGACAACCTACCTACTCCTAATAATAAGCTAATTCTCTCTAAGCTATTTAATGCTCATCAAATTTATCAAAATCTGATATCCACATCTCAGTTAGTTGACGATAATAACTACATGATTATTTTTATGCTAATGGATATCAAATAAAAGATTGTATCATGTTTCCACCAATGCTCAAGCTTCTGCTTCGATCATCGTTGATTCAGATCAATGGCACAAGCGTCTTGGACATCCTAGTCTCTAAACCATACAACTCATTGCCAAACAACAACCCACGTTTGCATCTTCCTAGCAATTTTTCTTTTTGCACTTCTTGTACTACTGTAAAATGTCATCGTATTCCTTTTAATAAGTCTACAAATACTCAATGTAATTCATTAGCTTTAATACATACAGATGTTTGGGGTCCCTCCCCAACTATGTCTAATCAAGGCTGCCACTATTATGTGTTGATTGTTAGTGACTTTACCTGGTTTACATGGCTCTATCCTATGACTAGTAAAACTTAAATTACTCCCCACTTTATTAAATTCAAAAAAGTGGAACTTCATTTTAATCAAGGAATAAAAATAATCAAGACAGACAATGGCGGGGAATACACTAGCTAACAGTTCAAAAATTTACTTATTACCTATGGAATTATCCAGCAAACTAGTTGTCCTTATATGTCTTATTAAAATAGGATTGTAAAAAGGAAACATCGTCACATATTAGAAACTACTAGAGCACTTATAGCCGATTCCAACGTACCCTCTTCTCTTTGGCTTGAGACGGTCCTCACTACAATTTACTTGAACATTCAGTTATCGTCCAAAGTGACCGCTAAGAAGTCATCATATCAACTAATTTATGGCTCTATTCCACACTACAATCATCTCAAGACATATGGATGTCAATGTTTTCCTTGGTTACAGTCAATCCGTCGAAATAAGCTCCAACAACGCTCTACAGCGTGTGTATTTCTAGGTTATCCTTCTCATGTTAAAGGGTAAAAATGTTTTAATCCCACCACATGTAAGATCATAGTCTCTCATCATGTTTCAATTAATGAAACTATCTATCACAACAAACAACCTAGATAACTTGAACCATTAACCCAAAATACAACCATACACTCCCTAATTGCTCTCCTACCAACTTCTACTCTACAAACTTGTTCTACCTCATGTAATTCATCCAGTCCATCCACTTATATCATAGCAACAACTCCCTCATAATTACCCCAAGATGTTAACAATCCACTAACAATCAATCTAGAATCGATACAGGTTGAACATACGGGTTCAAACACCTGCTCAATCGAAAACCTGTTCATTGTTGTACCACCACATCCCAACACTATCACAACATCATATGGTTAAGAGATAGAAAATTGGATCTCTAAACAAGAAAAAAATCTTTGATTTGGTGCAAGTTCATTTATCCGAAATAGAATCTACTACTTATAATCAAGCTAGTTAATATGATCACCGGAAGAAAGCAATGGAAGAGGAACTTTACGCTCTATAAAAACAAAACACTTGGAAACTTGTTCCATCTCTTATCGATCAGCTTGTACTTGGCAGCAAATTGACCTACAAAATCAAAAAAAAAATTAAATGGTTCAGTGGCACGATATAAGGCTAGATTAGTGGCCTTTGGTTATCAAAAAGAATAAGGACTCAATTATAGAGACACATGCACTCCAATTGCCAAAATTCAAACAATAAGACAATCTCTCATTCTCGAAAAATTATTCCATACGGATTGGACACCGCACGATCTGGACCGTAAATCACCTGATTTACGGTCCTGATGTATTTTGGTGGGCCCCACCTAAAATTTTTTATTTTTTTTTAAAAACGGAAATAA